TATTAGTAATCCACAGACTTTTGTCGCTTGGAATACTTTGCCCTTTATTCAAATGGTACTACTAACTGTGCTGTGAAATACACTTAGCATCAGGCTTACAGAGTTACAGCTTTAAATATTTGCTAGTCTTACTTTGTGTTTGGTTATCTCTTTTATGTGGTGTTTATGTGTGTTGTATAACTGAAAATCCACAAAGAGATATGTCTGTGTAAGCATTGTTGGTGTGATTAATGTGCAAGTGCTTTATAACAGGAGTGATATGATATTTTTTTTGCAAGCAAACATTTGCTTGTACAGATGTTTGTAAAAGGTGGCTTAGAATCAAATGGACTTAGATCATTACTGAAAGGAGTTTGGAGGAGTATCTATTAAAATCTGCAGTTGTTGAAATTCTGCACCTTGCCTAGGCAACCTGTTTCAGTGTGCTTCCTAATACTGAACTTGAGCTTTCTTTAGGGCAAGTTAAGATGATTTTCCTTGCCCTCCCCACCGTGGCCTTTAGAGGACAGTTGAGCATCTACTATTTAGAACCGTGTTTTGAATGTTTTGATACTTCTGCAGTGTCCATCCCCATGCACTTTTCGACTCCTCCCACCTCAGTTTAGTCCAATGTATGAGAGTGAAATATTTCACACTGTCCTCGGCAACGAAGAATGCCCTCTGTGGCCCCAGGTCTACAGGCACTGGTGTCACACTGAAGTGTAGTCTACACAAAATAAATACTATTAAGTTCACACAGTTTTGTCAGATTCTGCAGGCTTATGTCCCCCTGGAGCTACTGCAGCCCCTTGGGGATCACGGTTAACTGTGTTGGCCCTGTGGTCCAGCTCTAGGCTGGAGCAGACAATTCCAGTGGCACACTTTCTTTCCTGTGTCACAAATTATGAGGCTGTGTAAAGTTTTGATGCAGAAGCAAGTCCCTCTTCATACCAGATATTAGGTATCAGATGTTCCGCCATCTCCAGGAAAGCAGGGCTCCATCACACGTTAACAGTTACTTGGGAGGACGAATGCCGTAACTCTGAACATCCCCCCTCATCCTTCTTCTCCCCCCAGCTTTATATACTGAGCATGACATCCTATGGTATGGAATATCCTTTTGGTCAGCTGGGGTCAGCTGTCCCAGCTGTGTCTCTTCCCAACTTTTTGTGCACTCCCAGCCTTCTCACTGGTGGAGTGATGTGAGGAGCAGAAAGGGCTTTGACTGCTTAGCAACAACCAACAACATCAGTGTTTTACCAATACTATTCTCATCCCAAATCCAAAGCATAGCACTATACCAGCTGGTAGTAAGAAAGTCAGCTCTGTTCCCTGAAACTACAACCTCTATTTTGTACTTTGACTGTTTTCTTTCAGTCTGGACTTCTAATGCTGTGACTTGGTCATGAAAACACTTTGTTCTAGGGGAAACCCCAAGTCTAGCAGCTCTGTTAACAACTGGAACTTAAACCTTCTTACCATAAGCTACATCCATGTTCTTACACATACCTGAGGTGGATGTTCAGCCTTTATAGCAACATCCCATTTTCCAAGAGCTGCCCCCATATCTCAGCATTTTCTCCCAGTCAGAACAGACAACGTGGGTCACATTCTGCCCTTCCAAAGAAAACGCCGAGTTTGGCTTTAAGGTAGTACCATTTGGTGCTGTTAAGATTCTGACCCTTGTCTGTTATCCCACCATCTGATTAGGAATTTCTTTGTATGGTAGGTTTTAACAATTTCTCTCTCCCCAGGTGGCATGATGCACAAGTTAAAATGTTGGCTTGGCTTTGCAACACCTTACATATAGCATTTGTTAAGAGAATTGGCCTGTACAATACATGTCATAATCTTAGGAAGTACATGCTCTTTAGGGTGTCATTACCTCATGACAGAGACCACATATGACATTAATACTATGCTTACAATTGTAGTAATAGACTACTTGAACTGCCCAATCTCTACCCCTTTCTCATTGTTAGCGGTCAGTTGTAGAGGTACCCTGTGGCACAGCTTGTACAAAATCCTGTGTGAACAGATCACTAAATATGTTGTCAGTGGGTGTTGCTGTGTGCAGGTTACATGCGTTCCTGCTGGAGCTCTGTACGTGGATGCTTGGGCACGGTGGGATTCTGTGTCATGATTTGATCTAAGTAAGAGGTTTCCGTTATTACCTCCAAATTTTTAGCATGTATGCTCTTAGGTAACATAAGAATATATATCATTAGTTAATATGTATTCTCTTGTTCTCACTGTGTTTCTGAACTAGCCTAACTCTGTTTTACTCCTCAGTGGATCCATAATACTAATTTAAACTATTACTTTCTTATTAATTCTGATACCTGTTTTTCTTCCAGGCTGTTTCTGCTTTTATTGAAGCTCTCATTCTTTTGGAATGAGTAATAAAAAGCAAAAACACATCACCTGTATTAATGAATATTTTCTATCATCAGTTTGCTTTTTCAGGTTCTGGTAGCCATCGCACACAAAGCAGCTGTTTTACTAAAGCCGGGCAAGAATATTCTGTCATTATTCCTTCTCCTCTGAACGTCCCATGGTTGACACAGATAATATTTAGGCCTGCTTCATTTAGCTTTAAGAAAAAAATTCAAGGAAATCAAAATTATGGTTTCTGTGATTCTCCATGTGATTGCCAGGGAGCAGTGAGAGACGGCTGCTCCCTAGGGGACAAGGATCCCAGCACAATAACCTGGCCAGCAGAGCAGTGACCGGCAGCCAGGACCATCCCACCCCCAGCTGGGAGTGGGGCAGCCCTAGCCCTGGGCACGGGCACCTTGCTGGGGATGGGCACCTCCCTGGGGATGGGCACAGCTGTCCCTTCCTGGGGTAGGACTGACGGCCTTGCGGGGCTGAAATGAGGTCCTGGGCCACGGGTAGGATGGGGTGGCCCCAGGGGGCTGGGCAGGGGTAGTGAGGCTTGTTTGTGCCCTCAGGGGCGTGAGAATGATATCTGAATCCTCTTATTACTGCAGTACAGTTTAAGGTTATAAGAAAAGGTGTACAAGAAAGAAAAGCAAGTGGACTCTACTCAAGAGTGGTTCAGTATCATCCAGTGTTCCTAGACTTAATCATTTGACTCTCCTGCCTCATTGCTTCATTTGTATTTTTCCATATGTTTAAAATAGGACACTATATGCCCAGAGCAATTTTTTTCATGATGTGTGCACCTCCTGACCCACAAGAGCATAGTCTCAGTTCCATCCTCACCCTCGTACCTAGTGGTTTTCATTGACCGCAGACTCCCCCTGACCCTTAAGGCTTTGAGCAAGGCAGTGGGAATCACTGTGGTCAGGGAGTGGAGCTGAATATGGCCTGTGGAAATCTGGTCCCTACTGTTTCCTTCCTCAGGAGTAATATTTCCCGTTAACATTTCCTGGTAACTCTCCTAGTATGATCATCTCAGATACGTGCCATTCCAGCACTCAGTCATTCCTAGTGTTCCTCACATATCTGCAAACTTTGTCTTTGAGGAGTTTTCAGAGCTCAGTATTCAAAATGGGTTAATATATACCCGTGAGCCATCTGACAATTGAAATGGTACTCTTTCTTTTGGTATTTTATGTATGAATTAAACCAACCTTCCCCCCCCCGCCATTTTGACCATTATTTCCAGAGAAGTGAGATTAGGAGTTATCTCTGACCTGTTCACTCTCTTCCCTGTCTTCCAGGAAACATAATCCGTGGGATCTTCCACATGCTAGACTATGCCTCATCTCCCTCAGAAATAAAATTATATTATTATTTGAATATTGGCTCTGTATACATTGTTGATAAAGTCAAATGAAGCGACTTCTCTTACCTGTTAAAGCCAGAATTTGGCCTATATGGTTTAACTAGTTCCAATGGTTTAGTTTACCATTCTCACTGAAAAAGTATGAAATAATACTTTTCTATTCCTCTGGTTCTAACTGTAAATATTTTTTTTTCTTCTCAATTAAGCTTCAGTGTTAGGACAAGAATTATTATCTTTCCCCTGCTGTGTTATATCTTCAAAATTCCAAGCAATTCTGTTATTGATTAATTTTATTCTCTAAATGGTTTGTAGTTCTCTTAGTATCTCACCTGATGAGATAGCTATATCCTACCAATTGATAGATAATGGCTGGCTATGAATATTTCAGCCTTACAGTTGAAAATTGGATCCAATGACAGCAGAGAGAACATCGTTTCCTAAAGCAAAATTAATTACAGCATTTTGGGTCTGATGGGGCTTTTCATTGCATTTCACTGTTAATAATATAGGATGTTTACACACATAATATTCTTGTAAGTTTGCAGGTAACAGGAATTGTAAGATGGGTGATAGCCTTTGCTCCTACATAAAGTTTGGGTGAATCTCTTGCACTCTTATGTATTTAAGGACTTCTGCTGGGTGTTTTGGGGAGCAGCTAGGCTGTCTGTCTCTACCACAAAGATACCCATCTTCTTTATCTGCAAGTTGTAATGTGATTTATTTAACATCTGTGCTGATGTGCACAGGAAGACCATGCTGAACAGTTGCAGAAATGAATTATTAATTAATTGGCTTGCAACCATCTAGCTGTTCACTAAGTACTATAGCCAGTACTTCCCATCACCATTCCTTTCATCTCCTTGGTTCATTCGTTCTTCAGCCTTCTAGTTTATTACAATCACTCATTCTATATTGATTGAAATCACATTGTTAATTCTTTGGGGCTTGAAGTCTCTCAGTCTTTCTATAATAATCTCAGCAATTAATAATGAGGAGACCATTTACAACTTTTTCTGGATGGGAAAGGGAGTCCAAGAGAGAAAAACGAGGTAAGAAAAGCAGTTCTTGGTCTGATTAGTTTCTGAACATTTGCTGTGAAAACAGACTTGCTCTGCAAAGCAAGGCAAGGTAAAGGACATTATAGAGGGTTCATGTAGCCTTTTGTTGCTTAGTTAATTAGAACTGATTTTCATGCATCTAGTTCTCTACCACCATTCTCCTACTTATTTGCTTATCTTTGAGCAGTTTTTGTTTGGATCTTTTGCAGGTCAGAATTAGCTTCCTGCTGTGATGCAGTTCACAATTTTATTGCTTCTCAAAACAACACCCCACTGGGAAGTAACATGAGTTACGAAGTGGACAGTAAAAAGACCATCCTCATTACAGAGGACATTTTTAAGATGCTGCCTGTGGTAAGAACTGTATCTTTACCTGTTATTATAATTGCAGTATCATATATATTTTGGGTTGGTAATAGAGATGCTTTGTTTGATATCTCTGGAAGAGACCCTTCATCCCCTGTATGCTCTTCTTCATTCACCTTGTAAGACCTTTTTTTTCACCTTCCTCTGCAGTAGTGGAGGCATGGACAGGGTATTGTAGATCGGATTGTAGGTAGGGTTGCTACAGAACACAAGTTGCAGCCTGGCTTGGCAGCCAGCTGAATTCAGGAGTGACTCCTCTGAGAATGTTTGCCTTGCTTTTCTCATTCCCATTTTCAAAGGCATTTCAGTCTGGAACAACATTTCATATTCTTTGTATTCCCATGCCATTTCCAGTGCAGGCTTGGGCATATAACTAACTTATGAAAGCTATCCTGATGGGAAACCTGATATGGAGTGGGATGGGATGAGATGGGATAGGATAGGATAGGATAGGATAGGATAGGATAGGATAGGATAGGATAGGATAGGATAGGATAGGACCGACAATGATCATCTAGTCCATCTGCCTGACTAATTCAGGGCTGACCAAAAGTTAAAGCATGTTATTAAGGGCGTTGTCCAAATGCCTCTTAGACACTGACAGGCTTGGGGCATTGACCGCCTCTCTAGGAAGCCTGTTCCAGTGTTTGACCACCCTCTCAGTAAAGAAATGCTTCCCAATGTCCCGTCTAAACCTACCTTGGTACAGCTTTGAACCATTCCCATGTGTCCTATTAGTGGATACCAGGGAGAAGAGCTCAGCACCACCCTCTGCACTTCCTTTCCTCAGGAAGCTGTAGAGAGCAATGAGGTCACCCCTCAACCTCCTTTTCTCCAGACTAGACAAGCCCAAATTCCTTAGCCACTCCTCAGGACATTTCTTCCATCCCTTTCACCAGCTTTGTTGCCCACTGGGGTGGGGCCTTTGCAGCCAGAGACACGGGCTGAGCAAAGGAATCAGACTTTGTAGCTCAGGACTTTTAATAGCTATATAAGCTCTGGAGACCAGACAGAGGGCCACAGAGATGTACTTAATTTCTCGGAAGTAAGAGCACATTGGACCCCTCTTACCCATCTCTGGCATTCTTGATTTGTGATCCCAGCTACCACGAGTCTACTCCTTTCTAATGCTGCTGTGAATCACTAAAAACTTCATTGCAATAGAGGTTACAGTGGTTTCAAATTTAAACTGAACTGAAAGAAAAACGTAGTATGTTTTATGTGCTTATATACTTGCTAAGCTCACCAGAGTTCTATGCCCTTTGTGTTCTCCTACTGTCTTCTCAGAATTGAACAAAATATTTGAACGTGTTGTTTTGTAATACATTGCCAGGCAACATGATGTTCGGCACTTTCCCCACACTTTTTGCCTTGTTCATAGCAGTGTCCCTTCCTGCTTCTCTTTGGGCAAGCTGATGAGAGAAGGAGGAAGAATAACGCTTTGTGTAAGGAAGTTTTGACTCAATTTTAGAAGGGGGTTCAGTTTCTGCAGTCAAAGTAGCCCAGCTGTTGGCCTCTTTGTTGAATGTCAGTGCTCCTACGGCAGGAGAGGCTGAATGAGATGTATGAGATGTTTCTGAGACCCTGGGGTAACAGCCAACTATATTAATGTCACCTGAAATAGCCAACAATTTACATTAATTTGCTAGGTTGTGATCTGGGCAGGTTCCCAAGTGGGTGCACTTAGCTCCCATTCAGGTTCCCCAGTGCAAGACGGCAACCTCTAACAAGAAGAGGAGAGGAGAGGGCGAACAGCCAGAAACTGTAACCTCTTCAGTTAGCCCTCACATTCACCATGAGTTAAGCCAGGGCACATGATTATCCTTTACAACATCTTCAGGTTCCCCTAAATTCATTATTTTACATCAAATGTAATTGTGTGATGATAAAGTAATGAGCATTCACAAAGTTACCTTCTATTAGCTGACAAAGTCAATGACTGTGTGACAAACCCCAGTCTGTTACAGTGCAAAGGAAAAAGGGTAAATTTAAACTATCTTCAGTACAAATTACTTCCTTAGCTTGCCAAGCATTCAGTCCACTACTAGATAATTTTTGTGTTAAGTGTATTTAAAAGATACTCATCCAGTTTTAACAATCCAGTGTTATTCCTTCCAAGTACTGGCAGCAGAAGTAGCAGTTCTCAGTCTGTTGGTGCCTATTTTTGGCTCGTGGCTGTCCAGGCCTGGCAACCCTGTCTGCTAAATGGTGACTGTTTTCACTGGGATTTACCGGATTAAATCTGCAAGGACAAATGACTAAAGATGCAAAGAAACAATCAAAAGATTTACAAGGCATTGGCTGTGTCTTTTTATTTGTTTGCAGTCCTCTCCTCTTTCAGCCTACCCCTTCAAGACCTGTGCCGTGGTTGGAAATGGAGGCATTCTGAAAAATTCCAGCTGCGGAGCTGAAGTCGATCGTTCTGACTTTGTGTTTAGGTAAGAGCTGCTTCATCTTAGCAAGGGTGTCCAGTGTTTCTAAAAACTTGGCAGGCTTGGAAGCATGCCAGTGCCAGTTTGTAGAAATAAAGAAGGATCTTGACAATTCTTTGTTTCTGCTTCTCTAAGGCTACTCCTTCTGCTTTGTAGATTTCAGAATGCTGCTTCCTAAGTAAAAAAGGACTATATGGATACATAAATGATCTATGATTGTAAAGTTAACCTTGCCAGTGATGTGAAACATGATTATCCAAGAATCTGAAATTTCTGCTCATTTAACATCCTTTGGAAAAAGGAACTTTTTTTCTTTTTTTTCTTTTTTTTTTTTCTTTTTATTCAGGAGAAGAGAATAAAGAGAACCCTGAAACTGAAATAAGGAAGACTAGTATTAAATGTCACGTTTACCTTTACCTCTGGTTTAACAAAGTGTTTACTTAGCCTTAGGTTGGCTCGCTAATGCAGTTATTTAACTGCTCCAGTATTTGTCTCACCTTCTGTTAGCCATATAAAAAATTAGGCATGTAATTTAAATAGTTTTTTTCAGCTGCTTCTATAGATTGTGGAGAAAACCAGGCATACTTAGAGCGCAATTTGGCCCAGTCTCTCAGTTCATGACTCACACTTGGTAGTTCCTGCAAGGGAACAGAGTAACCAAGTGCAGGTTCTTCTCTCAGTGATGTCCAATCACCCAGTCAGCTGGATTTTGTTTCCTTTACTGCTTTTGACTAATATTTGGGCTTTTCAAATGAAGAAAAAATAAAAGTCTTTCCATTTAGGTAATTGTCTTAATACAAATGGGAAATCTGCATACTAAGATGCTAAACTTAGTAAGCGTGATTGACTTTAAAAAAATGCTTTCTTTACCTTTTACAGAAACCGCTGTTTCTGCAGTTGGGCAAGTTATGCTGTTGTTGTCTCATGAAACAGCTGTCAACATTACTGTGGAAGCTGAGGGACTGGTATCAATGAGACTGTTTTAAAACAGAAAATAACAGAAGACTTTCAGAAGAAATGCATTGTTTAGGCAAGAGGGGCAATATTTCCTAGCAGCTAACGTAGGGCATTCATAGACTGGCTCCTTCTGGGATTTTAACTTTGCTCCTGATTTGTGAGGTGATTTATGAAAACGAGCTCTCTGTGCCCTATTTTAACCATCTGTACAGCAGATTAAATATTTTTACTAGAAGTGCTGTAAGCCTTATTTAATATTTGTAAAGTGCTTAGAGATCCCTGGGAGCTGATGTGAAAGTGTCATTGCACAAGAGAGGAATTCGCAAATAATAACTGTAAAAAATTTCTGGTGCGCATCTGTTTAAGTAAATGTTTCTCAATTTCAGGTGTAACCTTCCTCCGACCACGGGAAGCATTAGCAAAGATGTTGGCAATAAAACTAACCTTGTGACTGTTAATCCGAGTATCATAGCTCAGAAGTAAGTACAACTGCAAATCTCTTTCTGTGCAATATTGTATAATTGTTTGACATTATTTAGATTTTGTTGGAAATCCATTGGGATACCAGCATAGAGAGCAGTGCATGCAGATTACTTCATTAAGCCTTAGTTCCCATGTAAAATATGTACCAGTCTAAATGGAAATCTGTTAAACCCAGCCTTTTTTGGAGGAGAAAGAAGTCAGCAATACCAAGATTAGCAAGTGCCTCGACTGGCACCAGTCCACAATTTATGACAAAGTAAAAATTGATGATTGCAAACCCAAGCCTCTTTCCCCCTCCTGACCCTCCTGACCCCCAACATAAGAAAGAAATTGTAATCATAAATCAGGAAAGCTTGGAAATGTGTGTCCGACTCTATCAGTAGGACTGTAAGCACATGTTCTTAGGAAAAGTGCTTAGAGGCTGTTCTGATGAAGACTGTTTCCTGAATGGAGGCCAAATTTCTGTAATCCATTTTTTCAATCCATACGAAAGCTGCTCACAGACTTTTTTCTCTCAGCAAAGTTTTTTTTTTTTCACCTTGTTGATGAAAAGAAAATCTAATAAGGCCAGGCTGACTAATCTGACATCTTCAGCAGGCTGGAACTTCAGCTTATCTATGAAAAGGACTGCTGTGGCATGTTATTTACTGCTTACTGATCTTATTCTATCTTATTGTCTGTCATATCTGTGTTTGTCAAATAGACAACATCAGGCAAAGCTTTTTTTCCTTTAAAGGAGGAAGGAGGAAGTACAGTGAGCATAGAAATTACTAACAGCTATTTGTCATTGATTCAAGGGTAGAACTCGATTTTTTGCAATGGGTGCTAACTACCTTAATGCTTACTCAGCCCTTTTTGACTTAAATGAAGATGAATTATTGCTTCCCCAATAATAGATTTAGCTCATTGATGTTAGTGGGGCTACGCACGAATATGAGGAAGGAAAACTTTGTTCAGTGACTCAGCATCATTGGAGACTACTGACCTGATGCACAATTTGTCTGGGCTTGATCAAAGTGTTCTGCCACAGCTGCACTCATTTTTTAACCAAATTAAGCCACAACAGGGCTAATAAGAGTTACACTGAAGGAAATAGGAGCTAAGCTGTGTGAGGATGAAATGTGATTATGAGAGAATGTTAGGATTTAAAAAAAAATCATTATTTAAATATTCAGAGAACAACGTAAATACTTTTGAAGGAGGAGCAGGAAGCAACTTGCACCATTTAGCAGAACTAAGTTTGGTTCTTCTCTCAGAAGACCTATTCTGACTTTATTCACTTTAATTTATAATTCTGTATTTGGGTACCGGGTTAGTCTGATGTTATTATTGTTAAGGTTAATCAGCTTTTGAACTGTGTCTGTCAGCGTGTACAATGTAGGTAAACTCTCTTGGAGGAAAGAAGTACAGTTCTTCTGTGTCCTAATGGAGCTGGGCTTTACCGCACCTTATAGTGGCTGAGCTGGAAAGGAAAACAAGACAAGGCCGAGTGGTTCAGGCTTCTAGATGAGGAAGAACAGAGATCTGAATTCTGTCCTGAAGGCTCTTTATGTACTTTACACTGAGTAGAAACAGAGAAAGTTCTTGGAGTAGAGGCCAGAAGTTCACCCTTCAGCCCCTCTTCCTAGACCTATGTTCAGGTGTTTCTTGCTTGTTCTGGCAGCGTGACTCTTGCATGCACAGGGACCCAGGGTCAACAGGAGGGGCTGAGTCCCTCTCATTCGTTTTGTTTCAGAGTCTGGTGGTAACGGCACTTTTCTGGGAAGCAGAAGCTGTAAGTTTAAACCCCTTCAGGCTGAGAAGGGGTTGTATCACTCCTTTCATGAGTTCAGTTATGCAAGAAGTAACCGATAGCTCCTCTGTGAGGGTTTTGAATGGAAAAGGCAGTGGCTGCTGTGCTCTGTCTTGAAGTGCTGCGTGAGAAGAGGGTTTGAATCTAATCAAGTTGTGAAGAGAAATGAAACCAAGTTTTCCAGTTTCTGCTGGAGCCATTTGTGAAAGGTGGACTCTGGTAGCCGTTACAAGGTGAAAATATGCTGCTCAGATAGACAACTACCTACAAAAGAGGACTCAGTGCTTTGAATCCCAAAGGGGGTGCAAGCGCTATATGTGCAGGTGATGCAGACTACTTGGATCTATAGAGGAAACAAGTTGAGTGACCCCCTTATCTCTTATATCACTTCTTGGATAACTCTGGAAGTTCACTACTCAGTATTTGGGAGCACAGAGCTGTCCAATGGTGAGGACTAAATCTCTTTGCTGGTTATTGGGGAACCAGAGCATCTGAGGATAAATCTCTTCATTGGTGAAATTAGATCTCTACGTTTTTACAGATCTCCATGTGTTCCCTTTGTAGTCAAAGGAGACAAATAGACATGCCTATATTTTCAGCTATTCTAAAAACATGTCAAAAGCAGCTAAGACCCTGAAAAACTTGAGCACACACTAATCTTTAAGACTCCAAGACTGCTCACATGCATACTTGTATTTCCATGCAGGGCAAACACACAGATTTTGAAGTGAGGTTATTGTATACCTATTGATGTAAGAAACACATTTCAGAAACACATGCAGTACATACCATAGTACATGTATTTTTAAACAGAGAAGGTATTAAATACACATATTTTTTTTTGTGTTGTCCTTTGAAATTTCTTGAATTAATCAATTCTGTAAATAGGTTCTGGTCTCATTAGTAGTGAATTTGATCTGCTTCAGTAGCTCCCGTGTTGCCAATTCAATCCTATGAAGTGTGTTCTTATTATACAATAAAGCCAGATTTTCATAACTGCACATAAGACAACATATAACAGGTTGATATAAATTTTCAATGTAGACAGGCTGAACTGGTGCAGCAGATTTCATAACTCATATGCAAGTGCAGTTGTGCTGTTTTGGTCTGTAATATATTTATATCAATAGTACGTTCTATTCACTCTTTTCCTAAAATATTGTACTTTGCAGATACAACAAACTAAATGAAAAGAAGACAGAATTTCTGGAGAACATTGCGGTCTACGGAGATGCTTTCCTTTTACTGCCAGCATTTTCCTTCAGAAGCAACACAGCCACTTCTTTTAAAGTGTATCACACTCTACAAGAGTTCAAAGCAACACAAAGGGCAATATTTTTTCACCCCACCTATCTGAGAAGTCTTGCCCAATTCTGGAGAACTAAAGGTGTGAAAGCCTACCGGTTGTCATCTGGTTTTATGATCACTAGTGCTGCTCTTGAGCTGTGTGAGAATGTGAAGCTCTATGGCTTCTGGCCTTTCTCAAAATCCACAGAGAAGATGCCAATCAGCCACCACTATTACGACAACCAGCTGCCTAAACCAGGTTTTCATGCAATGCCCAAAGAATACAACCAGATCCTTCAGCTTCATGGCAAAGGCATTTTGAAGTTGCAGTTCGGTAAATGTGAATCAGACTAAAAAGGTACGTCACTTCCTTACCACATAAAATGTCTTTATTTAAGTAATGTGTCAAGGGAAAACTTGTTTTACAAACAGCGGGGGTCTGTTCTTCCTTAGAGAGACATTTCTACCTTACAGTCAGTGTAAGTTGTGTTCATAAATAAGAGAAAGCTGGAGTTTTCTGAGTAAACGTAATGTACCACAGAGTTTAGAAATGTTTTCTAATTGTGAACTTTAGATGGGGAGCGTAGCTAAATACACATTATCACCATAATTCATAGTCAATCAGTAGTGTCTCCTCATCTCAGATGTGTGTCACTACCAACCTATGTTTGGTTTGGTATCAATTTCCACGAACTGGCCTCCTTTGTGAATTGCTTTATTAAAGGCAGACACATACTATGATCTACAAAAGGAGACACCTAATCCTGGCACAGAGGCCAAAATAAGGATTAAGATTGCCCCAGGAAGGAGTAGCATGCATCTGTGCCCTCATTCCCTCTTGTAGGTAAAGATAGGTTTAGAGCAGTACGCTCTCACAGCACTGGGCTGCAGAACAGCTTGTGGACAGCAGTGAGGAAGCTGCCGTACACTACAGCAGATTTTGGTGAGGATTTTACCTTGAGGCAGCTCAGAATCTGGGAGGCAGAAATATAGGATGAAGTGTCATTCCCTTTCCTCTGTCCTTTATAACTGTCTCATCCCCCATGGACCTCTACCTTCTGTTTTATTGCCTCAGAGAAATGCAGCAGAGTCTGGCTTCTGACCTTGAGTCAATTTACCAAGTGCAGATTACAGATGACTTTGAAAAGATTTGTCTGCATGTTTTCAATCTTGATTTGCCCTGTTGGCAAAATAAGACATATTTGTATAAATGCTTCTTCATCTTTTAAGCTAACTCAGAAATTCCCCAGCTCACAATACTGTTGTCAGATTTGCCGTTCACAGAAGTCTATTTTTCCAGGGGGTTCAAGTTAATATAACAGTAAGTGAAATGTACAGTAGAACTACCACTGTATGCAATATGCTTTAATTGGACTGATAGAATCTCATGATTGTATTACTCAAGTTAAATAAATTAAAATAGCATCATCTTGTTCAAGCCAGAAATGTTAAGTTCAAAAGCTAAGGGCTTTTCTTCTGGCTAGGTTCTGACATGTATTTGAAAATATCCTTTGATGGTATTTAGAAAACATGCTGTCAAAGATACATTCACGCTTAGTTCATCGTCAGAGACTGCTAAGTTTTAAACTAGCAGATTGCTAGTACCAAGAAAGCACAATTTTGTTCAGCTTCAGTTTGTTTGAAGAAATAGAAAAATAAGCTGCTTTAATATATTATTAGAATAATGTCAAACATGTGAGAAGCCAAAACAAGCCACCTAGTGAATCTGTTCTCCTAGTCCATGGCAGGAGATTACCTAGGAGGAGGTGTATGTGTACACAGTTTCATGTGGCTTGTTAAAAGTTGCAGCATATTGGAAAGGTTAAGAAATACATAATGTATTTTTCTTAGTGGCTCAGCTGTTTCCATGCAGTTTCCATTGTATTTATTCTTCCTGTAGTATAAATCGCTGGAGACATACCATGTAATTTGTATTGTAGTTACTACACCAGCTAAGAAAATGAAGGCAGCTCTTTATGAATATTTAATCTAGAGAGAAGCAGATAGAAGCCACAAAAATATTTAAGCATCTGTATTGGTTAATTAAATGCTGTCCGTGCTTGACAGATTGAAAATCAGTTCTATGGCTAAATTTGCAAAATAAGCTGTAAAGAAATAAACAACCAGAAGGATAAGTTGTGCTGCCCTAAGATTTTTCTCCACTATGTTAATCACTTATATTTGCAAAGAGAAAAGTAAGCCCTTTAAAACCAAAGAAATTAAGCGCTTTCAGTAGGAGCTACCATTCTGCTACTATTATCAACTATTAGAGGTAATTGAAATTCTATAATAAGTGTATTTCACTGAAGATGACCTTTTCTAAAAATTGAACAGGCTTGTTTCTCTTTTCGATTTCCCTTTTATGTTCTTCTCCCTGCTCTGCGCTCTCCCCTGCTAGTGAGTAGCTGAAGGTTCCTTACGCCACTGGGTGCCCACAGAAGTCTCAGGCAGAACTTCCCTCACACATTGCTGGGGCACAAAAGTTTGCTGCTGTAAATAAGAAGTGAAGGAAGCTGCTCTGCTGCAAGCACCAAGCAGGTAGCAGGTTCTGGAACGGTATAGGGGGAGCATAACTGCATCCCAGTGAATCATTTTGGCAGTGTTGCTCCTAAACACCACCCTTGCCGTTGTAAATGTGAACTTTTCTTATTGGATAGGGAGAATTGTCAGATGTGAGAGCCCTGTAGAGATGGTACTGAACAATGTGGGAAACTCCACCTGCCTTAATATCCACTCCTGCACCTCTGTGATTGTGCTCAACAGACACGTACCTGTCTTTACTGAAGTAGATGCGTACCTATCACAGATGGTAAAATGGAAAATGAGACATCAGCAAAATCTGGAAATGTAATTAAAATAATGATCTTTATTATTTTGTATTAAATTACCACATCTTTTTTGCTATGGCCGTGCAGCTGAAGGAGGTCTTGTTTGTTCATTGGTTTAACCTGATAAGCCTGAAGGGTGTGTCATTAGCTTCACGTAGACATAGGTTCAAGGAGGAGAAATGGCCTTATTCATATTTAAACATAGACAGAAGAATCTGATAAGGAAAATTGTCAGATGATAAATTAATCAGACTGGCAAAAATTTGATTGCCCAGAAGCCTGGTTAAAATGCAAATTTTGCCTGACCAAGAATCCATCAGGTTTTCTGTTTGCTAGGAGACAGCAGGGAAGATAAGTATGTGTTGCTTTGACATACAGCACAGTAACATTAAGCAGCTGCTCTGAGGTGTCAGTCAACAGAAAAAAAAAAAAAAAAAACATAGAAAGAAAGAATGAAACTGAGACTCCCTGAGCCTGGAGAAGAGAATGGTGCTCAATCATCCGAGCAGAAGGACTGGAGGAGGAGAGGTTGAGCAGAGCTGTGCTGGTGGTTAGGGAGTAAGAACTGCTGCACCTTCGACTAAGTGTGAGTGTGTCTTACCTGGAAAGTAAAAATTGGATCTGGGCTTTATAGTTCCAACCAGATGATTAAAAGCCATCTATTTCTGACAGAGAGGGCAGCAGTGCAGCCCCCCACTCAATGTGGAGCTAGCGGGGCAGCATCCTTTGAGGCAGGGACTGCCCGCTCACTTGCTCAGGAATTAACATAAAAGAGAATCATTTTGTTCCAAATGCTGTCAGCATGTGATCCTTTTTTAATCATGAAAGTGATAAATACTGTTATAAATAACCTATTTATAAATATAATTGTTATAAGTAACCTATTTATAACAGTAGAATACCAACACGAGCTTAAATTCTGCTGAAATTCTTTTATGCTTGCAGTTTCTCAATGTATCTAGAGAAATATGAACTGCCCCACAATTCACTTTTAATTACCATCAGAAAAATGATACAACATTTTGAAAATAAGGACGCTTCTGGATTCCTGTGAGGCAGCCAATTTCAGCCTATCCTTGACTCGGGCAAATATTATCCAGTGTGAAATTGTTAGATGTATACAACATGGAAAGAAAGGTCTTCTGCTTTAGTACCCGTGCAGTATAGCTTTTAAGCTCACGCTTTGCTCATGTGTTCAGCCACCTACTAAGTTTAAGAATAATGTCAGTAATGAAACAAGTGGAGATAAGTTGCTTCTGGTTTAGTTAAAACACGCCAGAATAGAAAAATATAGATTAAACCAAATTAGAATTAGATTTCAAATCAAATAAAAAAGTATTTAGAGATCTAGAAGGCTTTTGTTTTGTTTTGTTTTTCCACCGCAGAACTAGCCTGTTGAAGAAACAGAATCATTTCAATCTCTAGCTATTTCAAAATATGATTACAATAATATAATTTAGAAAATACTCATATTCAAATTAGCAGTGGCTGTGTCCCATAAAGCTGCTGGTTACACCCAGCCTTGGTTAGCTTAGGATGGCTGAAGAGGGTGGTGCAGGTGAGGTAAGTGTGAGCAGTTCTGGGGGTATCCAAATGGAGGAGTCCTCCTTTAGAAAGAGCAGATGCTCGAGCTGGATCAGGCACGAGCAGTCCAGCTTACCCAGGGGAATTTTGTGAGCCTGTGATGCTGTATAATAAATGTCACAGACTCCCAGTCTGAAATAAGGATGAAAAAGCAGATGCGAAAGGTGAAATGCATACACAGAAGCTATTGGCTTATTTTTAATGTAACAAGCAGTTTTCCTACTATAAGAGAAATAAGAGTAATATATTTTATTCTTTTAATTCCAGGGTGATGTTCCTAAGGAGAGAATTTGTGTGTATCTCAGCAGTTCGGTGTTGAATTTGATCTGATGTAATTTTGTGAGCATTAAACTGCATTGTTATAATAGAGAAATATTTTACACTTGAGGAGAAAGGAAGTGATTTTTTTCACACAGTGACTGCTACATTTCTGAGTTTTGAGTAATCATTATTTAAATACAAAATAACATTTATTTGGGAAATTCTGAAACTCGTGACTATTGGTTTAATTGTAGCAAAGCACAATCTCAGGATGGTGGCAATATGTGACATTCATCATGTTTGCTTCTTCAAGTATCATTAAAATATTTTGACATAAGGTCTCTGGTTTTGTTAATATCACGAAATTCAGGCAGTAGTCTCTGTGTGGTAGCTGCATGAGTTGGCAGTGAACATTTTTGATTAAGGACTTGAGCATGTAAACTCTAGCATTTGTCTACATGAGAAAGGTGATGAGAAGAGCTACAGACAAGTAATTAATTTGGAGCCGTGTCACTCTTAGTTTGTCCCAGGGTGCACAGATGAAAAAATTCCTCAGGTTAGAGATAGTCAAACGGTTTATGGGCTTTCATTTTGTGGGCAACAGATAATGCTATGGATTTAATGGGATCACTCATGTGAATGATGTTAATTTTGTGAACAAGAGTTTGAAGGACCAGAGCTGTATAATTGTTTTTAAACCTTTTGCTCTTATTGCTTGTGTTCCTCTCCAAGGTCCAGTTCAGCTCCAAATGAGGACGATAAGCTAGGTTCCATGCTGCAATCTCCAGAGTCCTTGTAGAGCATGACTTTGCACACATTACTGCAATCCCAGCTCTGTATCTCGGCTGACATATGAAATGGACCATTCATTAGAAGAATGATAGGTACCAAGCCTATTTCTTCTATTTATTTTTCACCTAGCATAGCTCGTTTCAAAATGTGGCTACAGATAAGGAAACCGCACCAAGCATTATTAGAAGAGTGTTCCTCTTACAATCAACCCCAAGCTCTTCTCCTATACCAGGACATATGAGAAAAGAAGCCACAGTCACTAAATTTAAAACCCATGCAGTTCTTGTGCTTTAAGTTTCCCCGTGGTCCAGGAACACCTGTAGAGCAACATCCTGCAACAAGAGAAAGTGAAATATCAGCCCAGTGGAAAGAATCACATTAACGTTTATAGGAGCTACGACAAGCAGTTATTGCCCTAGCTATCGCTGCTTGTATGTTAGTGATTATATGTTTTACTGCAGGAAAAAATAAACAACAAGTAAACAAAAAAAAAAAACCACAGCAAAAAAATTTGTAATAATCAGTTTCTGTTAAAAGAAGAGTTTCAGTGCCTTTTTTGAGTCAATTGAATGATCAGTTGAAAGATAGTGTCCGTCTCCTTTTACAGTCAGATACTATCATGTATTTTGTTTACTAAAACTCCTTTTGCCACTGTAGCATTAAATCCCCAATCAACTGATTTAAAGGGCATTCAATATTTCACTCATTGAGGATTATATCTGAAAAAAAAAAAGCTATTTAAATGAATTGAACCTTATAAAGTAAGGTTCAAAAAAACTTCTCAACTGATACTTCATAAGAGCATATCTATGTTGTTGTAATATTTGAAAGTTTACCTTGCAGCAGTTTTATAATCACATAAATAATCCTGAAAGTATTAGAATCGATCATTATGGTTCCAGGTCTGTCAGTTGAGACACATTCAGCATCTTGATCCATTTCCCAAGATAATAATATCAGAATCCAATACTACTCCTACCTAAGCACAAGTGTCCATAAATCCTGGCTGCATATACCAGCAATAAAGTCAATTTTTGAAAATAAGTTTTATAAAAAACAGATAGTGCTTTGGAGCATTGAATGACACCACTAATACAAGAGTGGACCTCTGAATATCAGTAGGGCTTTAACAGAAACAAAGACAACAGAATTGAGTCGATGGGCACATCTGTGTTACCAGCTGGTAACAAAGAGATGAGCACAAGGGTTTGATGTACTGGGATCTGTTACGGTTCCAGCACCACAGGTCCGCACTTTGTCTTCACCACCAGTGGAATTTGTGCCAGTTTGTGGCCACGCATCTGCTGCTCAAGTGCAGAGAGCTGGCTGCTGCAAGACCCTGCATATCCGTGTTGCAAGTGTTACGGATGATTGCCTCCTGCAAGACCCTAGTTATAGATCAGAGACAAATTTGCTCCCAAAAGACCTCATCCTTTGCCATGAACCACTCATGTAGACTGTCCCCAAGTGTTTGTAGCTGGAAGCTGTGCAAAGTGATGTAGTTGTCCTTTGTGTGATGCAAACAGCCTAGGTTGAGGAGAACCATGTCATATTTCATTCAGAGAGACAAAGATGCACCTGTGTTCAGGCAAGAACTGTAACTGGTTCCAGTCTAGTATAGTGCAATGAGATGATCTTGGCTGTGTAGCAGCTACGTTGTTTGACTTGGATAAATTCATACATCTTTTAGAGATTGAGCAGCTCTTGCATTGTATCCAGAACAATTGTCAAGTGCTTTATGTGTACGTGGAGATGATGCAAAGGATGTCATTCATTGCTCAGATTAAATTCAATGAGGTACTCGGCATGAGTGAAGTGGCAAAACCTAGTTGTGTGTAAGTAGAAGATGTGGAGATGAGAAAATGAAATTTATTTGTAGTGGAGAAGCCACTTTTTTCAAAAGCATTTGTTAGTTAGCACCACATTGCATACCTCAGTGAGTAAATGTATACAGTATGCCATGACACACCACAAAGGACTGAAGTTACTGTGTGTTTGGACTATTTCTGTGCAGCTCTCTTGTTTATAACACACATGTATTAGTAACTCGAAACGTTACTGGAATACATTTTAAGAGAGGTTTAGCTGAAAAGAAGAAACCTATTCTAGTTCCTTGATAAAAAGAGGTCTTAACTGAGGCAGCGTGATGTGGCACTCACAAATGAGAGCAAACAGAAAGCTCTGTAACATGGACAGACACTTTTGACTTTGTAGTGTTGTTTCAGCAAGGTTTAAACTTGCCATTGACCTGAAGACCTGATCCTCTGTGCTCTCAAAGCTCTCAGTGATTTGTGTGGAGCACAGGACTGACAAGAAGCGCGGAGAGGATTTGTTAACCTTTCCTCCCCTTTCCTACAAATACTCTTAACTCCTCATAGAATAAAAATATGCTCTATTAGATTTTAGATCAAGAACCTATTTTTAGTGTAGCTTTCTCAGGCCTTGCTCCAGACGTGAAGTTATTATGAGATGTTAGTTGTATCCACTTCACTCCAGAGGAGTGCAGACCTTGTACTCGGCTTTATTATGGCGCGTGCTGCTGTGTGCTTGGTGGCTAGCTCGTGTTAATTTGTGCGCAGGCCGGGCAAGTTAATAGCGGCGTTTCTGTGTGACAGGGTACAGTTAGATTGATCAAGACTTGCCGAAGTACACTCGCTGTGGGAAAGGACGTTTTCTTGGCTAGCCGAATAAATTATTTCTCATTTATTTTACATCTGTGATTTCTCATTGATTTTACATCTGTGCCAGGTTAATGATGAATAAATGGATTTTGTACCTGGCTGGGAATGTTTATGACACTTTTGCAAGACTGAGCCAAGTGCAGTTTTGATTAAGGATTCTTGACCAAAGGCTGGGAAGAGCCTTTCAGTTCCCTCTGCTTCACATGAGGAGTAATAATTTTTAGGGTTTGTGGGCCTCCAATGCTGTCACATGCTGTGGAGTGAATATTGAGATTAAATACTTTTCTAAAGATAGAAACACTGACAACGTGCTAATGGTTCCACTGTGCCTTTGCAGCGCCTGACAGTGGCCTCGCACATGACTGCTTCACGGCATCGTTAGATTAAGGGCTGCTTGGCTGCTTTTATTCCTTTTTCTCCTCTGAATCTTTAATGTTGCATCTTCCTTTAGGATCCAGTCCTGCCTTGAGTTGGTTATTTCTCTTCCCCCGTCTGGGGCATTATGTAGTCCTGTTTAGTGTCTGTTAGGGAGTTTGTATGGCTATGAATCAAATGCTCCTATGCTTGCAGCATAGTAAAACATACTTTAAATGGCTTGGTTTACATCCCAAGGAAGGCAGCATGGTGGGATGTTCATATTGCCTAACTGGAAGTGCTAAATTTGGGATGTAGCTACGCAGTGACTTAAGCGGTAATGGCTGGCTATGCAGTCCAGTCCTTGTCCTTGCGCTCCCCCCCATCCTTCATGCCCTCTCTGGCTCCTGTCTGATCCTACACTGAGCCCTTTTGGTGCACTGAGCTGGCAAAAACCTAACATGGCAACAAAAAGAGAAAATTGGTTCATGCCAACAGAATTTCGGAGTCAAAGCAAAAGAGGGGGTGAGACCATGCAGGGGGACCATAGGGACACAATGAGGGCCATTTGTTATCTGATGGCTGTTGGACAGGCCCAGCGGTCCCCTGAAACCTCAGTCAAGTCCAGAAGGTAACATCTCTGGGTGTCTCCCTGGTCAGAAGGTGAAGATGGGCTCCTGCAAGGGGTGATCACAGCACGGTGGCTGCTCTGGCAGGCAGGAGCCCATCTCTCCTTGCGGTAACAGAAGGTCCTTAAGGACTGTAAGTACCTACACTGGGTGAATATTGCTCCCCCTTGTCTCTTTCCCATTACAGTAATTTTAATAAGCTGTTCACCACCAGCAGGTTCAGAAATAGTAACTATAAAAAAAACCCCTTTGACTGTAAATACTGTTTCTCGGCTCAGTGACAGTAAACTTGCATAAACTTGCTTGTTGTTCAGCATGCCCATGCTTTCAGTCTCTGCTAATCCCAGCGTCTCAAACAGCGTCTGCAGAGCACAGAGCTGCTCAAGGTCTGGTGGTTTTGAGACCAGTTGATCTCACTTTGATTCTCTTTTCTTTGTACAGTAGTGAGATGTTTGACATATTGCCATGCTTAAGTCAAGATGAAGTTCTCTGTCCTGTGTGATTCAGGAAAAGAAAATAAATGATCTAGGTGACCTAGCACCTTCTGTGGGCTCCCCAAATTACTAGCAAAACATTCCTCTTGTTATGTATTATCTGATTTTATCCAGTGCAGGTATCTGGATTGGTTAATTGATCTGAGTTACGCGATCACTTAGACCTGGACCCTGCACAGACTCCCTGGTGGAGCTACAGCCTGACACGGCAATCTAGGTTTAAAAACCATCTGACCTGGAGATCTTTCTCTGTCCTGTCATTCCCTCTCATGTGACCAGTCTGCGGAGTGAGATCCTGGACATCCGTGCAGTAGCTCCTCCAGGGACTCTCAGGTCCTCA